CACGCACCGTCTGCTTCGCTCACAAGTTTGCCATTTTCCAAATCAATTATTTTGGACCCTGCACAAAAACATCCTGATGATGAAAATGTCGTTGCAAATCACTCTATTGGGATTACACATAACGCAACATCGCCCCCCCCCCCACAGCAAAAGCTTGGCAAGACCCGCCTGAAAATAATTTGAGACTCGGTGAGGCTTTCTGGGTAAACAAGCGCGCTAATGATCGCACCCCGAAAGCCGCAGGCCACTCCCGCAAATGAGACTCATCAAAATAAACTCAACAACACCTAAAATTAAATTCTGATGTGTTTTCGGGTTGTATCGCGTGTTGTTCGCCGTGATGTCCAACGTTTCGGTGCACGTTCTGGGAGCTTCTTCAGGAACTTAGTCGAAGCTTCTTCAGGAACCTCTTCAGAAGGCACGCAGCGTGCGTGCGGAGCAAAACGTCGGACAGCGCGCGGAAACGACACGCGGCGCAGCCCGAACACACGTCGGAGAGCCGTGCGGCTCGATGCTCTTCCGTCACCAGTTGTACCGTCGATCGCGCTCGATGCTATTCTGTCACCAGGGCCGTAATTAAATAAATAAAGCTTCCAATCGCAGGGGCGCTCGCCGGTTGAAGGTTGCCAGTGAGCCCGGAATCTCAGTCGTCATAATATTGAAATCAATGAATGAATAAATTAGATTCTGTTGTTGATTTTTTTTTGTTCCCCCCCCACCCCCCACCAAATTATACGGTATTTCGATTGTGCTGTCGGTGCAATTTCACGAGTCGAAGGAAGGCGTTTGTGCTCGTAAGATCTGCAGCAGAGGTCGCAAACGGGTTTTGATTCCTTACCCGTACCCAGCCGCACAAGGGTCGCAAACGGGTACCCGTACCCGTACCCGGCCGTACCCGTACCCTACCCGTACCCGGCCGGGTACCCGGCCGGGTACGGGTGGGGTACGGGTACGGCCGGGTACGGGTAGGGTACGGGTATCGGGTACCTGATTGCAACCTCTGGGATGAAGCCATGTTGCAGGCGCGGGTGGGTTGATTCTAGGAACTTGAATTGTGAGAAGAGACAAGACGTTGGGAAATGAGTGACAAACGCTTACTCACCAGTGACTCACGGTCTACCCGTACCCGGCCGCACCAGGGTCGCAAACGGGTACCCGTACCCGGCCGGATACGGTAGCCGGGTATCGGGTAGGGTACGGGTATCGGGTAGCCGGGTATCGGGTAGGGTACGGGTATCGGGTACCCGGTTGCGACCTCTGATCTGCAGCGAGCGTTGCATCACGCCGTGTCAGGCGAGGGCAGCCCCGATAAGGATGGCGTTTGCAGAACTACTTCTGAAACCCCTTCCACGAAGTCCCCTTCGTCAGCCAAGTCACGGGTTAGAAACGGTGCATCCTATGTACGTCTCTCTCTATGTATCTCTGTGATATCTGTCTCTACTTGTATGTCTGTCTATATGTCTCTGGTTCTGTGTTTTATCTCTCTCTCGAATTTAGCATTCTCAAGAAGAACGTAATCAACCAGGTAGGGTGTTGACTGTTATGTTATCCGACTCTCTGTGTTGTATTACATTACATTTTTAAGTATACTAGATTTGTGTTTCTATTTCATTTATACCTGATGACGATTGCTTGTGTTGCAATCGAAACGTCGTATGCTAGTATTTAATTTATTATTTTCTCTTTATACGTGACTTTACCGAAAGAACCAAAGAGTAATTCCTGCAGTCACGAAAGCTCCAAATTAAGTTAGAAACGGTCCTCTGAGACAAGCCCCCTTCAGTCAAAGGGGGGTCTCTGCGGGGTGAAGTGACAAGCCGAATGGACGCGTGGCAGCAGAGTTTGTAATTGTTGCTCTGGCTACTTACTGCAACTAAATGAATGCGTGTCTTGCAGGGCACCCAGCATATGGTTGCCAATCTAATATAAATGAGAGTCTGTGAGCGTTCGCAAAAAAAAAGTATTAAATAAAATTACCTAACCTGGCAGCCTCTCCCCACGTGTTATCCGATGAGTTTAGCAGGCGTATAATGATTCGCTGTCCCTGGGGGTTCACAATTTGGACTTTGTGATTTCGTTTGAGAATCGATTTCTTTGTTTTATTTTTGTATGGAATCTCGTCTGTTCTGTCTCATTCGTTCCCACAGCCTAAATGTACTGCCAGCGTACGCCGTACATGCCGTTTGCGTTAATTGAAAGCAATCATTCCCTACGTGCCAGATTTAATTCACGCATGTATCGAAATCGTGAGATACAACTTTTATTCTTTCAAGTTATCTGTCTAGTAGGGGTGTAACGATGCGCATGAACGTGAATAAAAAAAGAAATGAATTTGTAATGTGCGCATATTTCAATATAGTCAGACCATTTCTTTGATCGAGAATTTAGCGGGGCAGAGCCAAAATTTAAAGTTTCGTATGCCATCCCGAACAGGCGAGAGCCCGAATGGTGGAGTAACTTCAAGTTCAAGTTCATGTATTAGGTATAGCCCTGTGAGCCATTCAGCTCTTGAATCGGGTGCAACCGCAACAAACAAAAAACAAAAACATGAACAAAAAAACATCTTAAAGTTAATATGTGACTGAGTGCAAGCAGTAAAATATTGCAGAAAAAGCACCGTACACAAAAATGTGCAAAAATCCCAGTGGGATGCAAGTCAAACAACAACAACAACCACAAGACAACTTAGATTTAGGCCATCAGTCTAACTCTGTACTACAACAAACAAACATGGCCAAACCAAAAAACGTATCGAAAATCACCAAAATAAAGCCATAAAAGCAATGAAACAGTGATCATAGGAACTGTGACCGAATTTTCACAATAAACGACGTCAACAACATGTATTACCAAACTCTACAGCCATAGCTGGCTGCATGAGTCACTCCACAACAGTAGGAGCATTGAGCTGTTGCTTGAAGGTGGATGGTGCCTGGATGCCTACTGCTGCTGGTTCTGCAAGTGTGCCGGTGCAGCCACGGAGGATCGCCGGCTCATCCGGGAGGGTCCTGGTTCTGTCGGTGTGATGAGCAGATTGTCTTGGATAACCTCCGTTAGAATGTGTCGATTTCATGGATTGTTGCGATTCATGACCGCGATTCGAATCGAGAGTCGATTATTTTCTCCGACTCGTTTTGGCACGCGACGAACGCCCATTCTGCTGGGCCGTATAAAAGGAGCGCCCCTTATCTGGGTCAAGGAGGCCTTCCGTTCTGCTGCACTATCGCGGCATTCAAACGCCACCTACTTTTAGGACGCACTTTAAGGCCCCGTTATCACGGGTGGCTACGTACGGTGCGAAAAAAGTTCAACATACATACAAACGTACATTATAAATTGCATTATTGTTATTATTGTCGTTGAAGTGTCTTCGGAATTGGTTTCGTCACAACTGCGTAGGATTCCGCGGCCACACGCTCTCATCGGCTCTCCGATGCGCTTGCGGGTTGTGCCGCCGTGTTGTTCGGCACAATGTCTGACGTTTTGCTCCACGTGCTGGCAGCTCCTTCGGAATTCTGTCGCTGACAATGCCCAGGACAGCGTGCGAACGCATCGGAGAGCTGGTTCCGCTCCATCATCCTCTCGGGCCATTTCTTCGTGCGTTTTCAGGCCGTACGTTTTCGCTCCACGTGCCTGGGAGCTTCTTCGGGATTCGAGTTCCCGAAAGAAGCGCTCCCAGCGCGTGGGGCGAAACAACGTCGGCCGTCGTGGGGAACGAGCGTGCGGTACGATCCGAAGAGACGTCGGAGGAGAGCTGTGGCTTGGAGGGGGATGAGGAGGAGGAGGTTTTAATGCCCGGAGTTGAATGAGGGAGGGGAAGATGGTGGCAGGGTGTCAGGGTTATCCGACTGTTAATTTTTTTTTATTCAATTCACACATTGACAAGAAGAGGGCTTATTTTTACTGACAGGCCACATTTCATCGATGTAATTAAAATAAATAAATGTCACGATGATGTCCCGCACATGCATCACGATAATTCAGCCAACATCGCCAAATAAAAGGATTGCCTCCCATACAGTGCGGTCAGCAGCTGAATCGGAGAGATTAAGGCGGCCGAGGTGGTGCTTGACCGCCCCTCACATCTAACGACGCATCGATACGTCAATTGAAATGGGCTCAGGTGTATTTTTTTGCTCACGTCCACCGAGGAGATGGAGCGATGCGATGAGCTGGTGGATCAGAGATAACAAACGTCTGTTGCAAACAGTACAGTGGGCTTGCGCAGGACAGATTCCGCTAGAAGGGACGATGGCTCATGGGCTAAACTAAGGACGGTAGGGTCATCTCGGGAAGCAACGTGCGCTTGAGAAGGTTTCCTGTGGAGTTGGAGTGATGAACGCTTGAGCACAGGAGCTCGACGGATTATTACGTCGCAGCATTGCAAGTTGTGGTGATGTCATTGGATAGATCATTGTTGCTGCCGATGATGATGATGATGATGACGCCGATGACCTGGGTATGTGTTTCTCCGACAGATATCTCCAAACGTTTAGCAAGCTTTGTTGTGTATCTGCTGGTTATCTCGAGCCAAACTCAGCCCAGAGGCGCTTGGCGCACGACGCTAATCGGGAGATGCGTGTTACTGTGTGCCCACGTTGTTGTTGTTGTATGTATGTTGAACTTCTTTCACACCGTACATAGCGAACAGCACTAATCGGAGGTGCGGGGGAAGGACAACAAACTAAACACAAAAAGCAGTTCTCAAGAAATGAGTTTTCATTCCAGATTTAAAAGTTGCATAGCTCCAGTGGCTTCCTAATGTTGGAAGGAAGAGCGTTCCAGACGGCCGCAGAAGCAGCGCATCTGAAAGCGAGCGATGCGGCGACCGTCTTTTTTCGACGGTTCGCCAAAAGCCGACCGGATTTCGCATGCCGGTTAATGCCCCTTTGACGAGGTCAGCAAGGTACCGCGGTTCATTTGTGGCACGCACCGTGTGTGCAATGAGTAACGTATTCGTTTGTTGTCGTTGCTGCTGCTGCTGCTGTGTGTGCGTATAGAACACCTGAAGGGGCAGCTGGAGCAGTACATGTCGCGCTTCCCCGTGGTGCGCATCGTGCGCACCTCGCGCCGCGAGGGCCTCATCCGCACGCGCCTCCTGGGGGCGGCCGCGGCTCACGGAGACGTCCTCACGTTCCTCGACTCGCACTGCGAGGCCAACGTCAACTGGCTCCCGCCGCTGCTCGGTGAGATCGGGCGGAGGTCGGGGGGCGGAGGTGGGGTGGGGGGTTAACGGGGGGGGGGTCTGGGAGGAGAGAGAGGGAGAAGCGACGTCCCGCCGATGCCGGGTACGGCGCAGCTCTCGGTGATCTCTTTCCCACTGTGCACCCGAGCCGAAGATCCCTGGGGTTTGATGTTCCACGAAGCTCACAGTCCTCCCTAAACCGCATCCAAACAGCCCACGGCAGATGCGGATACCTGATGCGCCAATGGAAAATAAAAATAAAACTCTTCAGTGTGCGGCTGTGGCCGTTGGTCATACGCCGACGATTAAAGGAAGTGCTGTTGAGCCTGGATTTCAACCGTGGCAGGGGAGTGAGTAGACAGAACGGACCAGCGAGTGAAGCTTGACTACCGGCTTGGACCCGGCGCTCCGATTGCTCTAGCGCAAGCGTGTGCAGAGGGGAGAGGTAGACAAGGGAAGGCCGTGCTTGAAAGTCTTTAAGATGGTGTTTTCTTTAAACACCGTAAGTATTTCTCACACCCCCTTAAACTTGTGCCACTTGAAATAAAATGAAAAAAACTGAGCCAAGCTTTAACTTTTGAGCTGTTTTATGCACCCGTCCATGGAAACACAGCTGGGCTGGGCTCGGCGAAATCGGAGGTGCCGTGCGCTGACGCGCCCCAAAAAACCTCGCACGTAAACGCTCCCGAGATTTGAACAACAACAACAACCGACCGTGCACCACGGGACACTGATTGTGCGAGACACTAATTATTACGCAATCAACCGCTCCAGGAGGTGCCCGAGTTGCTTTAAATGTTCTTTTCTTTTGTTTAAAAATGCAATTGTGAAACCCCCCCCCCCAAAAACACGGACGACGAACAAAAGCCATATTTCTGTCGGTAGCGTCAGTATCCGCTCCGCTTTGTTGTTGCTGCCCAGCTCGCGTTGCACCGCAGTTCCCACCGTGAATGACGCCCCATCGCATCGCTGACGATCACCAGCGCGAATGCGTAATGTTAATATGACTCAATGTTATTTTGGGGGGGGGGGGCGGTGGGGGGGGGGGGGCGAGGGGTGGGGGCTAGGCGTTCCAGCCCCCCCAACTACCCCCGATGTGCGAGTTTCGCGAGTCCTCGCTCTTCCCAGGTCCGTCACGTCTTCTTAGCCGCGTCCCCGTTCGGCATAAATCACGCGTCCGCAAGCGGCGCCTTCGTATCTATCGCACACGAGCGGCGCGCGTTTACCGCGGCGGAAAGTTTTTGTTCTACCCACGCTCTGAAACGATCGATGGCTGTCAAAAATAATAACAGTAATAAGGATAATTACAGATTGTTGTCACGTGAAGGCATTTTGAAAGCTTTATCCGACGGAATTTTCAAAGTGGGAGTTAAGATCAAATGTTAATGTTCACTTGAGCTTATTTATATATTCACCTGCTGGTCGCGCTCCGCTTGGAGGCGCGACGCTGAGCAATGGGACGGCTCTCGCTTTGTCGGTTTTCTTTTTCTTTCGAACTGCGATCGTGGCACACATGCCTGCTGGTGGGGCCCTGCTGACCACTGCCGCTGGCTGATTTCCGATGTCACGAGGCTTCCCTTTGCAACGCTCGTGCGTGTGTGCACACGCGAGAGTCCACAGGGGAATGTTAATGTGGCGGTTTGCACGCTGCGCTACGATCCCGGCGGCCCGAGTTCGATTCCCGCTCACGGCCAAACGTCAGTGACGATTAACTGAAACACTAGTGGGCTTCCCCTAGGTCGACTCGGCCTCAAATGAGTACCTGGTGCGATGAGTAAATACCGCCGCTTGGGAGACAAAGGTAGCCGAGTGTGGTGTTGCCCACCGACCCCCTCGTGTGGTGTGCCGTGCCGGCCTTCATTGGTGCTCGTGAACAGCACTTTCCCCAACAGTCAGTTGAGGCTATATGGGGTATCTTTTTGTCTTTGTCCACAGGGAGCTTTGCGATGTTGTTTGGTAAGCCCATTCAGCATACATTTCTGGCCATTGGCCAGTAGCAATTAGCCCCAGCTGGAATTAGACTCCAATTCAACGTGGCCCAAGAAAACTACGGGGGGGAGATGAACATAAGACTGTGATGACAGCCTCAGTCGGTGCTCGCTGAGAGCGCTTCCTCCATCGCGCTAGCCACGGCTGGCGTCCGAAGCGAGCGATATCTGAACCATTCCTGGCTCCCCCCTTCGCTAAGCGCACGCTGGCGGGTCCGGGGATGTCTGGTCGAACGACTTCCAGGCTCAGAGTGGCATGGTGAGGCCTTCATCGTCCAGCAGTGGATGCGTGTGCGTTGAACATCTTTCACACCGTACGTAGCTATAACCGTGCTCAACAGAGGTGCGGGGGGAAGGACAACAATTTAAACTCAAAAAGCAGTTCTAAAGAAATTAGTTTTCAATCCAGATGATGTTAAAGTGCACAACTCTCAGTGGAAAATCTAGATATCGAAGTTTTCGTGACTGCAGGGATCCATATTCTTTGGTTCTTTCGGTAAAGTCACGTAGGTATGAAATAAAATCAATTAAATCAAGACGTTTCGGACGCAACACAAGCGTCCGTCATCATGTGGGACAACCACAGCAAGAAACAATCGCTGAAGTGGGCTCACAGTGGCTTCATAATATCGGAAAGGAAGAGCGTTCCAGACGGCCGCAGATGCGCATCTGCAAGCGCCGCGTGATGCGGTGACCGTCTTTGTTCGATGGTCGAGCCAAAAGTAGCTGCAAGGATGACCGGATAAATGTTTACAACTTACTTATTATACAATAGTAACTGCTTTGGCCGTCCCGGGACGGAAGCTGTAATATTTACGAAAAAATTGAGCGGAGTATAGTTGTATCTTGTGTAAATTTAATGGCAGTGAATCTTGCACAAAAGTACGTGAGCAAACACTTCACTGCAGTTCACTGTAGCGCTGTATTAATGGAAGTCATTCTTGCACGAAACTACGTCATAAAACACCTCACTTCATGTCACTGTAGCACTGTATATAACTGACCTTCAATTTGTTCAAATTCACCGCTCTAATACTTTATTCTCTTCTGCTTTCGGTAGCTGGGGTTGAAATAAATTGGAAATCGATACAATATCTGGAAAATCACCGAGAAATGTCTATTTTACCATAATGTAGAAGCATTCATTAGACTTACCTTTTGTCTCAAGTGCTGAAGGAATCAATAAAGACACCAAATCCACTTTGTTGCTGCGTAGAATAATTTATTAGATTCACTTTCAATAAAGAAACGTCAAACTGAAAGCGAATTTGCGAAAAAAATTATTTCCGTGAAAAATTATTTCTGTAAAAATCCACCTGCTCATGAATATTAATAATGACGGGGGGGGGGGTGCGGCATGTGGAGTGACGTCACGCGCGTTACACACAAACAGACGTTCTTGGCTCATTATGGTAGTAATACGCGGGTTTTAAAGACTCACCACCACTTCCTCTCACCCTCCCCCCGGTGATTCTGTTGGCACAATTTCGGATCGTGAATACATTCAGGAATTGTTTCTAATTGTATTCTCAGTTTTACTCTACAATTTATATCATTTATTGTAGTTGTTTTTCTCTCTCTCTCTCATTAGTGCAGTTGTGTTTACCGCATTAGGCTAAATGTACCATGAGCATTATCATTTGCATTTAATTTGCATGAATCGTAAAACAATCAATCCTCACACGCATGACACGATGCACGTCTCGTACGGCATAGGAATCGACTTTTAATTGACAAATCGATCGTTGCAGGCCCGCATTACATAAAACACACACACATACAACAACAATAACAGTAATCATCATTCGCACGAACGTTCTTAGCGAGAGGTCCTCAAAGAAAGGAAAGAAACGAACGCGAACAAACGTGCGCCTGAAAAAAAACACACACACACATCAAGCAGAGGGTGAGAGCGCTGACCAGAAATGACAGATCGCCCGCCGCAGTTCGTTCCGCCCGAAGGGAGATGTTCCTACGGCTGGGGAGATGCGTTTTGGAACAGCTGCTGTTGGATGGAACACCCCGTCCAGAGCCGCACGGAGCCCCGCTGTGGCCACCAGACAGAAGCGACGGGGGCCCACGTCCCCGTCTCTCCACCGTGTCTCCACCGTGTCTCTCGCGGTGGGGACACGCTGTGTCTCACTGTGTCTCACTGTGTCTCACTGTGTCCCCAGGTTGTCTCTCTATGTCTGTGTCCCCACTATGTCTCACTGTGTCTCCACCGTGTCTCTCTGTGTCCCCAGTGTGTCTCTCTATGTCGAACTGTGTCCCCACCGTGTCTCACTGTGCCTCACCGTGTCTCACCGTGTCTCTCTGTGTCGCACCGTGTCTCACTGTATCCCCAATATGTCACACTGCGTCTCACCGTATCCCCAAGCCCCACTGTCAAAAACAATGAATGCGCTCGATAAAAGCCGCTTGCCAAGGCACAGTCCAATTAATGAAACGGACTAATCGCTTTTCACTTTTTTTTTATTCAACTTAACAATTGCTTAAAATCGACCGGAGCTTTATTTCACCCGGCGGTGTCCACTGATGTAGACATTCTCTGTTAAAAGATGATCGTTTACGCTGATATATATATTTTTAGAAGTATAAAAATGCCTTGCAGCGACACGTGGCTCTCCGCATATATTCTGGTTTGCCCCCGCGTCTCGACAAAGCTGTTAAAACACATTTGCTTCCCCCTCCCTCGTTGGTAAATGAGACACCGCAATGCATTGCATGAAAAATATAAATTTCTCCGGCACGTGAATCGTGCGTGGGTGCCGCCGTGCAGATGCAGCATTGACACAGCCATCAATGCGCCACGGTGGCGAGATGTTAATTACCTCGCCTGGTACGCAGGAGGTCGTGGGTTCGAACCCTACCCCTGACGCCTGTATATTTGGAGTTTGCGTGTCTCTCCCCTTAGTTGCGTGGATCTTTCTCCGGGTCCTCCGGTATTTCCGTCCACAGTATTTGGCTGCTATAAATTTCCACGTGACGAGCCACTTCTTTAACCAATCATTTGTGGCCAGGTCGCTATATAGCGAAAAAATATGAATGAAAATTAATAAATGTCGCTTCAGTAGAATGCGTTGGACAAACAAGCGGTGTAGATTGCGACGCAGGCGCTGCCTGTGAGTGGCGTGACCCCCACGTCTTCGCCCGTGCCTCGTCACAGAGCGAGACGCTCGTGGGCAGAAGCCGTCGCACGTTTCTGGCATGGTTAGGGACCATTAGGACGCTGTCTTTCCGACAGCTCTGTTTCTTCACCTGAGGACGGCTGCTTGCATTGTGGCCGAAACGTCGTGAGAATTTTATTATGTTTTATTTTTATTATTTTATTATTTCCCTTCTACGTGACTTTAACGAAAGAACCAAAAATATGAATCCCTGCAGTCACAAAAGCTTTAAATCGAAAAATGGTTAGGGAAATCGATGCGCACGAGCGAATGCACAAAAATGTAAATAACCGCGTCCAATTAATAATTTGCACTGTGTCTCCGGCGCGCGATGGGTCTTTCAACGAGTAAATGACGCTGCCTGCGGCGGCAGCAAGAATGCGTGTTTGCGAGTGTCTCCGACATGAAAGGTGTGGGGTAGGGGGGGTTGGCGGATCGCGCAGCATTGGGGTTGCCGAGCGTGCGGGTCGCCCACCTTGCCAGGAAATGTGGTCGGAGAGTGGAGAGGAGAATAGTGAGATGAGAGGTAGGAGAGTACGTGGAAGGGAAAAGAATGAGATGAGAGGGGAGAGGTAGGAGGTTGGGTGGATGGGAATAGAGTTACAGTATATGAAATATGAGAGGTAGGAGAGAGTGTAGAGGGGAGTAGATTGAGATGACAGAGGAGAGGTAGGAGAGTGCGTGGAGGGGAGTAGAGTGAGATGAGAGGGGACAAGCAGGCAGTCAGGGGTGGGCCCACAGAAAATTTTAAAATGTATTTAGGTTTGTATTGAGAGCCATCGAAGCGCTCGGAATATCGGTGCGATGTGCAAGGTCTAGCAGTGGAATTTTGGACCATCCTTTCTTTATCCAACCATTTGTCTTACCTGTGTGGTTATTTGTGTTTTTTTTTACCCTGCAGACCGCATTGCCAAGGACCGGCGCACGGTCGTGTGCCCCATGATCGACGTCATCAACCACGACCACTTTGGCTACGAGACGCAGGCGGGGGACGCCATGCGCGGCGCCTTCGACTGGGAGATGTACTACAAGCGCATCCCCATCCCCACAGAGCTGCAGCGGCCAGACCCCAGCGATCCCTTCGAGTAAGTCTCGGCCGGCGGTGCCACCTGTCCTGGTTTTCCCAGGTTTGTTGTCTTTCTGAGGTCGCAATCCTGGGAATATCTCTACCCGAGGCTCTAAGCGTGCCAATAATAGAAACGATGCCTCTATTCCCAACACTAAAACTAATCCTAGAAATAACCGTGCCTGAGTGTCTACCCATGACACTAATGCTAATACTGTGGTGCTAATCCCAACACTCATACTAATCCTGGCAATAACTCTAACCCAGCTGTCTAACCTTGACACTAATGCTAACTATGGCTCTCAGGCTAATAATCCTGGCAATAACTGTGTCCCAGTATCTACCCACAACACCCATACTAATCCCAATCCTTATAATCCTTGCCATAACTGTACCCCAGCGTCTGCCCACAACATTAATGCTCACTTTATGATGCTAATCCCAAACACTGTCGTTAATGCTGTCAGTAACTGTAACCCAGCATTTAGCCGACTATTCAAACGCTCGTGCCCAATGCTATAGCACTCATACAAAGCCTGTGACTGACTGCAAATGTAACCATAGCCACGCTGGTAATGCACTAATCCTGACATTTCGTCATAATTGGTACTAGTTTCTGCATGGGGGAATTTAGGAGAGTGACAATCGGAAAAGCAACTCCCAGAATCAGGCACGCACTGCAGAGTGGGTTCACGTTCGTGATGGGGCAGCCAAATTCGTCAAAGAAAAAACAAAATGATGAAAATGAATATTTATTTATTTGCTTCTTTTAACCCAGGTAAGGCCCCACTGAGCTATATAGCTCTTTTTTTCAGAAGTGACCTGGCCACAAATGATAGCTCAACGAAGTGGCTTATCACGTGGAAATGTATCGCAGCCAAAACTCTTCAACGGGTGATGTTGATCATGAATGTGGAGGGAAAACCCGGAGGATCCAGAGAAAAATTGCACGGGACAAACGGGAGAACATGCAAACTCCAGATATTAAAGCAGGCGTTAGGGTGGGGGATCGAACCCACGACCTGCTGCATATCAGGCCAGGTAGTTAACATCTCCTAGCCACTGCGGCAGAAACCAGGGGACCCGGAGAAAAACCTCCTGACCCTTAAAGCCGCACACTAAGATCTTCATGCGGCTGAGGGCCGCAAGATACCGCCGACTTTACCCATCGTGCATCTGCACGGAACAAGCGCTCCAACTTTATATATATATATACATATATATGTTTGGTGCGAGTGATGGAGAGAAGCTGAGGGCGCATGCGCTTGCATGCGCTGAGCGAGTGACGTGGGAACGGTCACTCAGCCGGTTCGCTCGCCCTGCTTGGTGCAGATTTTGAGTTGAGAAATCTGCGGGAGCGCCCACGGGAGTGCTCGTGATCTGGGCTCTGCCGGGGCCTGCAAGCGAGGAGTTGCCCCAGGCCACTGGCGCTTCCACAGATTTATTTTTTTATTTCCTGCCCGTCTCGCATGAGGTTGCTTTGAAAAGTGGAACGTTATCGCCGCGTCTCGGCCGAGCCGCACTGCCGGAGAGCCGCATCCTGGGACTGGCGAGCCGGCGTTGGTCCACCCCTGACGCAGGGGGATCACCGCGGTTTAGGTCCACGCTACCAGTCCACGGACCTTTGTTGCTCTACGGTACACTTCTCGCTTAATAATGAGGGCAATTAAGCTTTTACGATATATGGCCACTTGTTTTGGCTTCACGTGGGAGGAAACACGGCGGTGCATTGATGTCTGCGATTGTTCTGAATGTAAATTTCATCATCTCGTGATGTAACATCAGGAGCACAATTTGAATAACATGGGGGGGGGGGGGGGTGGGGGGAGGGTGGAATAAACGAGAACTATTTTGTGTTAACTCCAACGCTGGATCTCTGTGTGCACGAATGCTGTGTGTGCGTGTGTGTGTATCATGTGCACTGCTGCGTGGGGGGCAGTAGTTGCATATTGGTTAGCACCGAGCGCTACGAACCTGGCGACCCAAGTTCAATTCTGGATCACGGTCGACATCTGTGGCAAATATATATGAACCGGTCCTGGGTCTCCCGAAAGGTCGGCGAATATCAGCGCTGGGAAGACAAAAAGCGGCCGGGAGTGGTGCTGGCCACCCACCCCCCTCGCACGCCGGGGCACGGCCTTCATCGGTGCTGATGCTCGCTGACAGCACGTGCCCCAGCAGCCCACATTGGTTACCTGTGCGGGATCTTTTGTGTTTTGCACCGGCCGTGTGGGAGCACGTAGCGCAAGGGGCCCGTGCTCAGCTGTGTACTCTTGAGCCGGGTGTGTGGCGTGTCATGTTGTGTAAACAGAATGTCCCTGCTCTTGCCCAGGAGTTGAATTTAGTTTGAAAATACCAAAGAGAAAAAAAAATGGAAGCAAGATAAATGAGTTTGTGCGGCAGGTAGCTTGTTCCGCTTTGCACGGTTGGCTCCTTTGGTTTTTGTTTTGTCCGAGGCATTTTGGCAGAAAGGAAAATCATTTAAGCAGGACCCACGATAGTATTTTTTCCTTCACGCTCAGAAAGGGCAAGTTTTATTTCAATTCTGCTTCTTTTTTATTTTATTTATATTTCCCAAGTTATTTTTATTTACTCAACCCCCCCCCCCCCCCATCTGCCCGCCCTCTGTTAGCACGTGAGTGTATATGTTATTTTCGGAACGGCCACCTTTTACTGCTTGGCTTCCGTCCCTGCTGATGCCTGATCTCACGCACCAAGACCCCAGGCAGAGGTGTCTGACAGTCGCCTGTCAGAATTCATTCTGGATGATTGACCGCATTAATGATTTGAAACGGAAGGCGACGAATCCTGCACGCAAATTAATTAGCACACTTAATCAAACATAATCGACACGTAAAGACGAATGTACTTGTTTTTTCCTATCATCACCACGGCCACCTACATCATCGTCATTATTAAATCGTCAGCTTTATACGTGTCATCGTCTTGACGTGTGTATTCATCAAGCATCGCCAACTCCAAATGCTCACGACTAAATCACCCTGCACGTGCCTGACCGCATCTGATTTTAGTAGCTAAGCAGGTGTGAGCTTCGCGAGTACCTGGATAGTTCAGCAATGCATTGTTGAATCTGTCTGTCCAGGAAGTTGAGGATTCATTACCTTATGGACTTTCATGTCGAACACTGCAGCGTAGTCCTGAAGACTCGGCAAAGCCTCATTACATGCTAGGTAGGCAGTGATTCCCCGCAGCTATGCTCCTCTCAATATAATGAATTGTGAGCCTTAAGCATAAAGAATGATTGCTGAGAATCCTAAATATGCCTCGGTCTGTCTCTGTGAGCCTCAGGCATTAATACTAAACTCTGAAAATCATATATGCGTCTTGTTCTGGCTTCATGAGCCTCGAGCATTAACACTGAAGCCCAAGACTTTTTTTTATCGTTAACCCTTTCTGAGCCTTTGGGCAATTTCACACTCACGCGTGGGAATCCTAAATGTGCCTCGGCCGGCCTCTCTGAGCCTCGGGCATTAACGCCGAACCCTAATGACGTAAAGGGTGCCTTCGTCCGGCTCTTTGGACCTCGGGAACGATAGCATCTGCTGCGCATCGCGACGTCGCTGCGCCCCAGCTTGCCATTGGTTATTTTTTGTTTTGACGACAGGCGCAGATTATTAACATAGATTATGAATCTTCTTGGTTCTTTCGGTAAAGTCACGTGACTTTACCAAAAGAACCAAGAAGATGAATCCCTGCAGTCACGAAAGCTTTAAATCGAAACAGATTATGAACTCTGATTTACTACCCCAGTCGCCATCAATGGGTTACCAGGGCCGGACATGTCACAGGACCCCATGGTGCAAATCGCTCGGCCTTCTTCCCGCGACAGGGGGCGGCGACGTGGCCCAGCGGCAGCACTGCGGCTCGCCGCTCGTCACTCCGGACGTTCACGGTTCGAATGACAGCGGACGCCCTGGTTAATACTGCGGTGTGGAATAATCACCCCGATAGCATGACGTGCTATCGGATTCGCGGTGCGTGCATGCTAAAGATCCCCTGACGTAGTTCACAAGAGGAAGGTCATTACTTGCCAGCGTCAGTGCCCAAACTTGCCAAATTCGGAAATTAACCGCGAATTACTCAATTTGGATCACAATACATAGCAATCAGCCACCCCTTCCTGGCAGATTAATGCTCTGGGTCTATCTTGCAGACAAGACTGTGCCGGTCTATTGAATTCTCACCTAGCTCAACAAAACTACGATCGCGGGTGATTGGGTGGCTATGCCATGGCTGATGATCACCTCTCTGGCCGTGGCAAGGGATCAAAGCCCTCCTGCCACGGCGGGTGATGGGGTGCCCGCGGCTTAGTGGACAGCGAGGTCCTGTCACCTTATATTCTTGATTCTTTCGGTAAAGTCACGTAGAAGGGAAATAATAAAATAATATTAATATAAAACAAAAAAAATTCTCACGACGTTTCGACTGCAACACAAGCAATCATCCCTGAATCCCTGCACGCCACACGTACCACGGCTCGTTGTGCCGTGGTACGTGTGGCGTGATGACTGACCTGGCCTCGTTGTGCCGTGGTATGCGTGGCGTGCGCAGGTCCCCCGTGATGGCCGGTGGGCTGTTTGCCATCGATCGCCGCTGGTTTTACGAGCTCGGAGCCTACGACCCGGGCCTGGACATCTGGGGCGGGGAGCAGTACGAAATCTCCTTCAAGGTGCAGACAAAAGCCTTTGTCATCACCTCCTTTGTCATTGCCACCACATTGTCGTAGTTGTCGGTTTAGATGTCATTGTTGTCATTGACATTACTACTGTCCGACGTTTCGCTCAACGTGCCAGGAGCCGAGTTCCCGAAGAAGCTTCCAGATGTGCGGCGCAACGGCGAACACCGTGCCAAACGACGGAAATGCATCATAAAACTGTCGTAATTTTAATGTTTTCATCGTGATTAACGGAGCGTCATCCTCACCATCGGCCGGCTGTTTTCATTGGCAGCTCGGTGTTGCAGTGGTTTGGCGCACTGCGCTATGAACCCTGCGACCCAAGTTCGATCCCTGGCCACGGCTAGCATCAGTGCCGAGTGAGATCTGACACTTTCCTAGGTGCCCCTTTCACCAATCTGCGCTGACCAGCGTAGTGATGTGTGGTCAAACGACTCCAAGATCCACACGGAAGGGGGAGGCCTTCATCCTGCAGTCGATTGACACTAGTCGTGTCGTGCAGCATAAACTCATCATTCGTAATTCCTGTGCTCATCTTACATGCATGGAATCAGGTGTGTAAACCTATTATAAAAAAAATTTATGCAGATGTTATGCAAATGTTCCATTTAGGCTGACGTTACAAACCGTGCAAACGAGACAGAGGCGACACAAACGGCGAGGTAATAACGAGACAAAATAGAATTTCAAACAAATCAAGACCCTGAAATCGTGAAACTGCATTGAATCGCTGGGGAAGCAAATCGTAAACATGCAAATTGATGACGATCGCCATCATGACCGCCGCCAAATCCACAATCGTTGTCATCCCAACTCACAATTTCCACCACGTATTGTACGCGACTCGATAATACCTGCGGATATTGAGTGTGTCCCTCATACGCTCGGCAATGGAATTGGCAGAGCACCCTAATGCAGCTGGGGCTCTCCTGATAGAGGAGTCCTGAGACTCATTGAGGCTTTCCTGAATAAATAATGCTCGTGTGTGTATTTTCTCTTGAAGCGATGCCTGGCACCAGAACTATCCTCTCGATACCTGAAGGGAACGTGTCGCTAAATCATGTGCATCGCAATTCCGTCTCGGGATTGCCTGCTCTGCTCGGCATCCTAATGTTGTATTATACATCCGTGGTGTGTGTATATATATTTTTATTTTTTCGCTAAAAGAACCGCACATAAAGGATCTCAACATTGATTACAAGGGTTAGATTTGCAGTTAGTGCCAGAACCAAATTGGTATTGATCAGAGTGGGTTTGCGTGAATTCCACCTCGGAGAGAGATATGTCTTGTTACCGCTATCATTCCTTGCTCCACTATTCTCTCCCAAATTTTTTTTCTTCCCCAGTCTGAAATAAAAAAAAATCGCGCTGCAAATGGCAACATCCATCCTCATTCTTGGTTAAGGGCTGAGTGGGTGAGGGACGGGGAAACTGAGGGACGACAAGAGAGCGGGGGAGTAAGGGAGTCGGGGAGCTGAATGTTAATCCTGTTCTTTCTGTCTTGTGGCCACAGAGACCACTTAAAAATAAATGTAATCACCGCACCTGCAATGAAAGCCACCATCCCTCTATCCCGTTCCCTCTCACTCCCACACCTTCTCTGCGGCTGCCCCCCCCCCCCCTCCGCGCCCCCTCCCCTTCCCCGCCACTACATCCCTCTCTCTCCCCCCCCTCTGGCACGTTTTCTCCCTTGATTTTTTTTTTTGCCGCTTCCTTGGTCACCGCGCGTGCTAAGATGTGACACGTGAATTTAAGGGGGAATTTCGGGGGCCAAGAGGTGCTAAGGGTGGGTGGGTGGGTAGGGGGGGGGGGTGGCAGAATTGCGAGGCTTGGCACGTTAATTCTGAGCGCCGTTCACAAAAATCTGTCGCTCGCCGTCGCCTCTTTCACCGACGCTGTGGGGTGCAGGCAGTGCTGAATCAAGCTAGTGCGGGGCCTGTAGCATATGATGTTATAAAGGGGCCCTAAATAAAACAATACAAATATTTAAACACAATTTTTTTTACTTGCACAGTTAAGTAATTGTATTTTTTCATTTGCTATACAGCCAGATAATTAATGCGACAGATCGCTAACCTTTAACACCCAGTCGTTCATAAAAGTTGAAGGCGGTATAGTACTATAGTAATAGAGCAAGTGCAGAATCACCGAACCGGAATTGATAGCTTGAAAGCATTGAGCGCGGGGCCCTTGAAATTGTGGGGCCCGTAGCATATGTAGCTACTTTTGCTACGAGGATCATCCGGCACTGGGTGCAGGGTCTGCGAGCCGCTCTGCCGGCAGCTCGTGTCAAATTGGCCGAGGGATCTTTGTTGATGCATCTCAAGGTGAATGCAGCGTAAGTAAATAAATAACTGGTTCTCTCGGCACGTGTCTTTTTTTTTTGCTTCATCGTCGTCGTTGTTTTCTTTTCCTTCCAGTTTACTTATTTATGCTTTATTTGATATGTGCATTGTGCACAACCGGCGGGATTGCTTGTTCCACGAGCATTTCCCTGCAGTCGCTGAATGATCGTGCCGTTGCTTTGAATGGAGCGACACTCTCGCGAGAGCCTTTCCTTGTTTCCTATTTTTTCAACTCTCTTGCCGTGCCCGTTTGCCGCCGCGACCCACCGTGACCTCTCGCAATGTCCAACGCGAAATCTGCCCCCACCTCAACACATCCCCACCGCCTTCGCCGGCCCTCCCGCTTCACCGTGCCCCGGCAATATTTTTTTACAGCTATACGGGGAATCTTGGCCTCATGCGCGTTTGTGCCATGCGCGTTATCAAACGGGCTCGTGCCCACAGCACGTCAGATGGACGGGCGGTCGTGGTCATTGCGTGCGTGTGCGCGCACCCACTTCACATGCGCACATTGTGCCCCACTTGGGGCTGAGCTCACGCCACTCGTTTCTTGACAGATCGCGCATGCCAATGACACGACCGCAAGCCACCGCTGGCTTCCGCCTTAATCTCCCCTCGCAGTCGCGCCTAACCGCTGGTACTGCCCCAGCCTACTTGTTATCGCTGCGCTCCATGGCGCCTGCCGCCGCTACTCATCCACCGCACACAGTGGAGGGAGATGAAAGAATGAGCAGGTGGCAAAATGATAGCGGAGCTGTCGCGTGCCACAGGTGTCTCAAGGGCCGGATCCGTGGTTTTATTTTAAATTAATGGGGGGGTGGAGGCGGGGTGCGGTGCGTTTCATAAATGGATAAAAGACGACCGAAGGCACGGCGACCCTTGTGATCAAAATTCCCGCCGTGCACAGAAGGCATGATGCAATGCAATGCTATACGGGCGTCTGAGTGTGACCGCTTCTCAGAGACAGGCTGAAAGCCCACACGATCGGTGGTTTTCCGGAGCTCGATTGTGCATAGGCAGGATCTTGATCACTGTGCATATTTGCATTTGCAAGGTAACCCCGATAGATTTGTCATGAGACGCATTATTTGGTGATGTTGTTGTTGCGTGGCAAGTGGTCCACAAGCACAAATAACAAAATCTAAATCAACCTTCTTCAGTGCCTCTGCCTTAAAGGGAAAATAATATATAAGTGGCGACGTTTCGGAGCAATGGCCCTTCTTCATAGCACGTGTATGCATTGCCTTTTTATGGCACTGTTATTTGCGATTGTGACAAATGTGTGGATGCTTCCGATGCAGCATCACCAGCTATTTTGTTTACTTACAAAGCTCGCGTACAGTTTCCTTGCAACTGCAAATTTATCATCAAGACATACGTTGTGTCGAGTTTGCTTACTCGTAACTTTCACCTGCATTACCGATCACCGGCTCGATCCCTCGAAGGCCTTTCGCGCCTTTCCTCTGTCGTGCGCATTGGACGTTTGTCTTCGTGGACCGACATCGCCAGTCTCTTTTGAAGACGCCACAGCCCACGTTGTCCCCGTCCGACCGCTCGATAAGGTCACTGCTTTCTTATCACCTCGTCCTCCCACCTCCCCGCCCCTCCCCGCCCCCATCTCACACTCTTCCCCACCCCCCATCCCCTGCCGTTCCAAGGTTTGGATGTGCGGCGGGCGTATGGAAGACGTGCCGTGCTCGCGGGTCGGGCACATCTACCGCAAGTACGTGCCGTACAAAGTGCCTGCGGGGACGAGCCTGGCCAAGGTAAAAGCAAAACAAAAACACACCGGACACCGGAAACCGAGCATGGTGAAGGCTGAAAGAGGCAGTACGTTATTGCCTAGGGGGGGGTTTTATTTTCCATTTTTGTTTTTTCCCTTCCGCGGTTGCGCTGCGTGGACTCTCTGGCGTGTTTTTCGTTTCGCGCCGCACGTCGTTGGCCACGATTGTGTCCGGCGCGATTCTTCGCGCCACGTGCCGCTCGGAGCTTCCGCGTGATCCTCCTGAACGTTGCCACGGGCGTCCCCGGACCCCGGTGCTCAGCTCCTCAAGGAGCTCCCCAGCACGTGCAGCTAAATGCCGAGGACTTACTTTGCCATGGGGAGCCAGGGGTCAGCAGGTTGGATGGAGCACACCAGCCAACCAAATGCGAGCTCTACCCCTCACACTTGCCAACCAACTTACCAGCCACTATCACTAGTATTCTTGGGTTTTTTCGGTAAAGTCACGTAGGTAAAAATTAAAATAAAATAAAAATCACGACGTTTCGGAGGCAACACAAGCCTCCGTCTTTACTTGATACAGCGAGCGTGCTGTGACGGTTCCACCTGAAGACGGAGGCTTGTATTGCCTCCGAAACGTCGTGATTTTTATTTTAATTTTAATTTTTACCTACGTGACTTTACCGAAAAAACCCAAGAATATGAATCCTTGCAGTCACGAAAGCTTCAAATCTAGAACACTATAACTAGCCCTACCCTCACCCTTGCCAGCTAGCGAACCCAATGCCACCCCTAACCAACGAACTCGCCATTAGTACTAGCTCTACCCTAACCCTAACCAGCTTGTCAATAAGCCACGAGTACTCACCCTTCCAATACCCATAGCCCCTAACTCCACTTTGCTGAGGGATCCCCCTTTTGCTCTTTGTTGTTTGTCTTTCGCGACGTTGTTCGCGCCCCCGTCTACCGACAAAGTTCCTGCGAGTGAAAACAACGTGAGCCATCGGGGGCAATCCTCCAACGCAACATGATCTCTCTCATACTTCTTGGTTCTTTTGGTAAAGTCACGTAGAAGGGAAGTAATAAAATAATAAAAATAAAACATAATAAAATGCAATTCTCACGACGTTTCGGCCACAAAGCAAGCAGCCGTCCTCAGGTGAAGAGCAGGCCTGTCGGAAAGACAACGTCTGAATGAACACCACCAAGCTTTCCATAAATATGCTAAATTCCTTTGATATGCAAATTCCTTTGTCAAGGCGCCCTCTTCCTCTAACCCAGCTTAAATATACGCTGCCAAGCTTGGTGGTGTTCATTCAGACGCTGTCTTTCCGACAGCCCTGTTCTTCACCTGAGGATGGCTGCTTGCGTTGTGGCCGAAACGTCGTGAGAATTGTATTTTATTATGTTTTTTTTTCTTCCCTTCTACGTGACTTTACCGAAAGAACCAAGAAGGTGAATCCCTGCAGTCACGAAAGCTTTAAATCGAAATTTATCTCTCATACTCTCTGGTTCTTTCGGTAAAGTCACGTAGGTATGATGATGATTGCTTGTGTTGCAATCGAAACGTCGTGGTTTTTTTTTTTCTACCTACATGACTTTACCGAAAGAACCATAGAGCATGGATTCTTGCAGTCACGAAGGCTTCAAATCTCGAATGATATCTCTCCTTGGGTAAATCTGCTGGGATTGTCAGTCAGACTGCCAGATTTAAATGTGTCTGTGTGTTGACCGTGTCTCTGGGTGTACATACGTGCGGTTTTGCCGTACGCGTGAGTGTGTGGCACGTGCCGCTATGCTTTTTTAGGTGTGTTGAGCAGAGTGAAAAAGAGATTCATAGCTCGTCGGATGACTCCAAGGATGAATAAATATTCTGATTCTGAGTTTATCTCTGTTGCTGACCTCTTTGCCGTGATGGATATTGCACATCCCTGGAGGGGGCTGAATTATCAGTCAGTACGACAAACACTGCCATGCATTGTGCTCTCTTTACTGACCCTATAGACAGCATGATGAGCATGATCATGACAATGATGATGACAGTGAGAACTATGGCTGTGATGATGATGATAGTGATCATGACGGCACTGGTGGATATTCAGACACTGATGATAACTACGGCAGCAAAGGTAAAAATGGCAACGGTGATAATGAGAGGGTGCGTCAATTCAACCTTGAATGGAATTTTAGCTCGTGAGCTGATAGCCCGGCTCTCCAACCTAGGCTGTGTTCGTGTTCACTCGTACAAGTATTTTGCCAATATTGTCATGGCATATTCTATTATGTTAGAAATAAAGTAATAACTCACGTTTCCTTCCAATTTGCCATTCTCCAACTATTTTAATTTCCTCGGCATGTATCGGTGGCTATTATTTTATAATTGACATCAGCGGTAAAGTGCTTCTTCGCTTATCGTGCGGCAGACTCCCAACTGGACGGTGCGGTATTTTTATTTATTTTTTCAAATTGATGTCGGATTTATGATTCCACCTTTAACCACATGTGGCCCAAGCAATAAAAAAAATCAATATCTGCCCCCCCCCCCCCCCACTTCTCGATGCTGCCGTTCTCTCTGAGAGCAAACTGCCTGTTTTATTTTTTTGTTTCTTTTACCGAAGCACAAGCGTGGCAGCTGTCCCACATCTGCAAGAGGGCCCTAAAGAATCGTACAATCCCGCGCGTCATTGCTACTCCCCTCCCACCACCCCAACCACCTCACCCCAATCGCGTGCAACAAACAGATGGCTCACGGCAAAGACAGCACTCCCCGAGCGGCCGTGCAGCCACCGAGCTGGCTCGTGCCGCGTTGAGGAGTCGGATCCCGCGCCGAATTCGTATTGCGGTGGTGGACGCCTGCTTGCACACGTCCGCGGAACAACATCCCATCGTCACCATCATCACCATCGTCTAGCGTCCTCTCTCTCTCTGCCGAGCCTTTGGCGTCGTGTAGCGCTTCCCCCTCCGCTTCTCTCTCCCCTCCGCCAGGCTCCTTGCGTTGTTGGAGACCATTGGCAACGGGTAAAACATATTCTTACGGGGAGGGGGGGGGGGCTGCTGAAGTACATTTTAATACATTGAATTACATTTATATCAATGTATTCAATCGACAAATAGACTTGCTGTTTTAAACAAACGACATTCTAAGTGGATTACACTGATCAACAAAAGAAAAAAAGATTTTTTTCTGGCCTGGACTTTTGCAGCTGTTCTAGACTAATTTCAGGGTGCTGATTCCAAATCTGATCTCAGATTTGCTCTATCACATCATTTTTATGCTATCGGCATACCCCATTTTCATTGATTTTACCCGAAATTAACTCTGTCACTTATGATTGCAAGTTGTTGCGAGTCGGTGACTGCTTTAGTGTTAAATATGGCGCTGTATTTTTAGGATAGTGTGTTTATAATATCATTTTATGTAGATATCCACATTTATTTAATATTTTTCTTCTGCAGTTTTTATTGAAAATGCAATATTTGATATCTCAAAAACCTGATGTGATAGACAAAAACTGATGCCAGATTTGGAATCAGCACCCCAAAATTACCTTAAACCCGTTGGAATACCTTATGCCAGAAAAAGTGTGTTGACCAGTGTATATTTGTCGTGTTTAGTCGGACAACGTGAGCGCGCCGAGTTGCCGCTGTCAGAGCGCGTGGTGGACCGGCGCGTCAGGCAGCAGCCGTTGTGCCACTGCCCCGCCGCGTGCTCTGCCCGTGGCGACCTCAGCCCTCTCTCTCGTCGAGTCCGGCTTTGGCAGGGCTCTCGGTGGGGAGGACGGCGTTTTAACGCTGCAGCTGGGGGGAGGGAGGGGGGAATTGGGTTTGATGGGTGCTAAGATGGCCTGCCAGCCTGGAGCTGGGGTCACGAGTGGTGAGATCATCTTCTTGGTTCTTTCGGTAAAGTCACGTAGAATGGAAATAATAAAATAATAAAACATAATAAAATAATTCTCACGACGTTTCGGCCACAACGCAAGCAGCCGTCCTCTCTCCACTCGAGGACGGCTGCTTGCGTTGTGGCCGAAACGTCCCTGCAGTCACGAAAGCTTTAAATCGAGTGGTGAGATGTTAACTCCCTAGCCTGGTATACAGGAGGTCGTGGTTTTGCCCCGTGGTCGTGTGAATTTTTCTCTGGGTCCCTCCAATTCTCCCCCTCCCCCATTTAGAAACACGCATTTTGCGTTTAGAGTATTTGCCTGCTATAAATATCCACACGATAAGGGGCCATCCATTGAGTACGTACGCATGGAGGGGGGAGGGGGGGGGTTAACCCAAACGCGTAGCTTGCGTATGGGGGGTCTACTGACAATGTACGTATAGGGAACGGGGGGGGGGGAAGCCTCGATAATAATGTGTCTACATTGGCCTTCAAATTAGTTAGTCAGTCTGGCGGTGGACTATCTGTTTGCTTAAACACGTTAATATTGTTAATCCTTGATCGTTTCTGCGTGGATAAAATATCGGCCGTTCTATAGGATTCGGGGGGGGGGGGTCAAGCGAACGTACGCAGGTGGGGTAAAAAGTCCACGCGCGTACAGGGAGGGGGGAGGGGTCAAGTTTTGAGAGATTTTTGTGTACCTACTAAATGGATGGCCCCTAAGCCGCTTCGTTTGAGCTATCATTTGTGGCCAGAATCGCTTCTGAAAAAGAGCTGTGCGGCTCAGGTGAGTCTTGCCCGGTAAGATTAAGAAGAAATACAGAATAGCTTCGAGTTACACGCACGGGTCTGTCCCCCGCCCTCCTGCAGAGCGAGGTCGCTCGCTCATCTCTCCTGGTGTTTGAGCGTCGTCATGTCGTACGTGTGGCTTTCCCTCGGTCTTCTTTCGTTCCCTCCCGTCCGCAAGCGTTCCTCAAAGAGATGTTGCTTTTCATGCCTCCTAATTGTGAGCAGCCCCCTTGCGACGGAAGAGTCAAAAAACTAATTGCCTCCCCCGATCTACCCGGGGCCGCCAACGCCGTCATCCCATCTCGTTCATTGCATTACCCGGTAAAATGACGCGTGCGGCTTAAGACGAATTAAAGTCACCGCGTCGATATTTCATCGGATCATCGATCGGCGCGCGCGAGCAAGAGAACAGGCGACGTGGCCGTCACGAAGCAGCCGCCACCACCCCCCTCCCCTCCCTCCCGTCGTGAAAAACGTTTCGGGCTCGACCCTCGAGGTCCCTCTGGTGGCACCGCACGGCGTCTGTCCAATTCTGCTCGTCGCCGCTCCGCTCCGGCGCTGTTTTCCGCGATGACCAGCCATCGGGCGCCTTTTGCAAGTTGAGCAGAGGGTGAAATTTGCATGCGAATGTCGACGAGCGGGTGATCACGAAGAGGCGAAGCGTGGCCGGGGGGTCGCAAGGGACTGGAGTTGCTGTCGTAGGGTACGCCACGGATATCGCGCACGTGCGTACGTACGTACGTGTGTGTAGTGGGGAGCGGTAGTGTAGTGGTTAGCGCTACGCTGCGCTATGAACCTGGCGACCCGGGTTTGATTGCCGCTCACGGCTAACACCCAGTGACGATTATCTGAACCGGTTCTGGGCATCTCCTAGGTCGACTCAACCTCAAATGAGTACCTGGTGCGATGTGTAAATATCGCCACTGGGGAGACAAAGGCGGCTGGGCGTGGTGCTGGCCACCCACTCCCTCGCGTGCCGTTCTGGCCTTCATAGGTGATCGCTAACAGCACTTGCCCCAACAGTCTGTTAAGGCTATATAGGTGATCTTTGTCTTTTTGTGCATAGTGGTTAGTTTGCTACACTACGAACCCGGCAACCCGGGTTCGATTCCCGCTCACGGTCAATGCCAGTGACGATTTTCTGTACCGGTCCTGGGCCTCCTCTAGGTCGACTCAGCCTCAATTTAGTGCCTGGTTGTGCTGCATAAGCATCGCCACTGGGGAGACAAAGGTTTTTGGGCGTTCGTGGCACTGGCCACCCGCCAGCACTCGTGTGCCACAAGTGCCGGCCTTCATAGGTCACTCCTCGCTAACAGCACTTGCCCCAAAAGTATGTTAGAGGCTACACGGGCAGACCTTTGTCTTTGTCCTTTGGCCCCGTTTGCAAATTATGGAGCCTGAAGGGTTGTGTGGGAGTTCGTGAAAACGAGCAGCCATTTGGGGGCCCTCTCACGCAGTAAATATTACATGCGCGGGTCCACCACATGCAAGCTACGCGTCGTATAATCACATGCAACTGGGGCTAATTATGCTTCACAGGAGTCGGACGTCTTTATTCGCATTACTTAACTGGAGTTTTATGTCTCTATTCGGATTATCTACCGCATGTTCAAAGCCTTAGTGAATATCTGTGTGTGTGTGTACGTGTGCGTGGGCCCACGTGTCCGGCACATACGTGGTACTAAAATAGTGCCGCTTTGGTGGTCTTGCGCAGTAAATATTGTGTATATTGTGTGTGTGTGTCCACGATTGTATCATGTAATTTTGATGTACAGCGCAGTGATTATGCCCCCGTTTATTTTATTGTGCAGCGGCAAATAATTACGGGCTGACTTTACAGCCGTATAAATTACGAACAGTGGAACGGCGGTGCAGTGGTTAGCGCTGAATGAACCGAGCTCAATTCCCGACCAACAGCCAACATCGGTGGCAAGCGATATCTAAATCAGTCTTGGCTCCCCCCACCCCACCAATCCATACTGACCACCGTGTGGTGAAGTATGGTCAAACATCCCCCTTGACCGATACTTGTCGCTTTGTTTATGCAATAACATTTTGGGAAAATATCTCTGAATGTCGCCGTGAACAGCCGCGGAGAAAGCGTCGTCGCCTTGCCCGACTCTCCTTCGGTATTTCGGTAATTTTTATTCACAAAATCTCACGAATCAGATCGCACCTCCCATTTGCGCGGTTGACTATGTACGGTGCGAAAGAAGTGCAACATACGTACATACATATCAGAGAATAAACGTATAAACTACAGACATCCTAAAACGACTGCGTACATGTCCCCAAGAATTGATGTGCTTCCAGCGTTAAGGCGTCACAGCCCTGCAACTTAAAAACTATAAACATATTTTTTTTTTTACCAGGTAAGGCCCACTGAGCTACAATAGCTCTTTTTTATAAGCGACCTGGCCACAAATGATAGCTCAACGAAGTGGCTTATCATCACGTAGACATTTACATCAAACAAATACTCTCAACGCATGTTTCCAAATGTAGGGGGGGGGGGGGGGGAAACTGGAGGACCCGGAGAAAAATTCACGCGACTATGGGGAGAACATGCAGACTCCAAATATACAGCAGGCGTCAGGGTTGGGATCGAACCCACGACCTCCTGTATACCAGGCGAGGTCGTTAACATCTTACCACCATGGTGCCCTGCGGCCCCGATGTACTAGTTAGCACACTGAACAATCCATATCTCCCGGCGTTCTTAATTCCCCCCCAAGCAGCGGCATAACTGGATTCATCGCAGTCGATCGGCTGGTCACATGTGGTTGGAAAAAGTAGGGGGTGTTCTCCCACCTCTTCCAAGCTATCATTCCAGAGTGCGAGAGTCGGCCAACATACCCCCAAGAGCCCCCTCTAGCGGGAGGCAACGCTTGTCCCAGCAGTGGCGCGAGAGCGAGAAATTGCCAGGGCTACCCCCTCTACCAGAGGTCGCAACCGGGTACCCGATACCCGTACCCTACCCGATACTCGGCTACCGGTACCCGTTTGCGACCCTGGTGCGGCCGGGTCCGGGTAGGCCGTGAGTCACTAGTGAGTAACCGTTTGTCACTCATTTCCCAACGTCTTGTTTCTTCTCACAATTCAAGTTCCTAGAATCAACCCACCCGCGCCTGCAACATGGCTTCATCCCAGAGGTCGCAATCAGGTACCCGATACCCATACACTACCCGTACCCGGCTGGCTACGGGTAGGGTACGGGTACCCGTTTGCGACCCTGGTGCGGCCGGGTACAGGTAAGGAATCAAAACCCGTTTGCGACCTCTGCCCTCTACCTTCTGATATCCACAGCGGGGGGCACCCAGTGACCGGCACGCGCATGTATCAACCCCCCCCCCCCCCCCCCCCCCCCACACGTGGACAGAACCTGAAGCGCGTGGCGGAGGTGTGGATGGACGAATACGCCGAGTTCGTGTACCAGCGGCGGCCCGAGTATCGCCACCTGTCGGCCGGCGACCTGACCGCCCAGAAGGAGCTGCGGCGCCGTCTGAACTGCCACTCCTTCAAGTGGTTCATGCAGGAGGTGGCGTGGGACCTGGCCCGCTTCTACCCGCCCGTCGAGCCGCCCGCAGCCGCCTGGGGAGAGGTGCCCGCGTCCGCGCAACGCGAGCCACTTTACGGCGCCTCTTTTGATAATTGTTTTTTGACCCTTTTATCTGGCAACAAAACTTTTGGCGTCATCTGTTCCAACACCGTGTTGAGACTAGGCTCTAAGGAAAGTTGTCTTGGGTGTGGACCAATCAACTTCAAGGACAGTGCATACATTATCAGAGTTGTGTTTTTTGTTTGCATTATGACTGCAGGTATTGTGGTCTATGCAAACATGACTCCATGTAAAAAAAGGTGTCAGTTTTGTTGCCAGATAAAAGACCAATTATCATATTTTTTACTGGCAAATGAGGTTCCAATGGCGCCTCTTTTGTTCCCGCTCACTCGCGCACGACATGAGCCGCGCCCGGGGGGGGGGGGGCCCTGCGGGTCGAGAAGCGCCAGGGTTGTTTTACCACTGCAGGAGCAAAGCCGCGTAAATGTACTTATGTACGTTTAACCTCTTTTGCACCGTACGTAGCCAACCCCGCTAATCGGAGGTGCGGGGGAAGGAAGGCAAACTAAACACTTAAAGCAGTTCTAAAGAGGTGAGTTTTCAATCTCGAGTTAAAAGCGCTTAGCTCCAGTGGCTTCCTAATATCGGAGTGAAGCCGTGCCGAGTCGTGCTGCCGACATCACACCGGCGTCACACCGGCGTCACACTGACATGAATGCTTCATTATCCCCACCGCCTCCGGCCCTGCTTTTGAACCGGAGCCAGATTCAGATGTCTTTGCGAGGCCAGCGTAGCACGTTTGCTACCGGCTCGCCATGGCAAATAGCCAGCGGCAATAGCCAGCGGGGCAATAGTGGCAGGTCGTAGAAGCGTCACCTCGCTGTCAGTTGCCTGAACACATTTTTATTTATACAGCATCTCAATGCAATAGCACTTCAGGATGCTCCACAACATAAAACAAATTGGGTGGGTGGGTGGGGGGGGAGAAGGGGGCTGTGGTGCGGCAGGACGGTGAAACACGGAAGAGAGGAGGAAAAGGGAGCACCATGACCCAACCCGGGATGAAGCGACCGGGGCCGAGCAGCAACAACGAGCCCTCGGGGCAGCCGGGGCAGCCAGGGCAGCCAGGGCAGCACCAATGAGTCCCACAGTTTCCACGGGGGGGGGGGGGGGGGGGGGGGACTCTTCACCAACGAGTCGCAAGCGGCCTCAAGCCATCGGTGGACAGTTCACTTAGTCCCTCCGCGTGGGATCGTCCGGTGTAGTGAGCCGAGCGAATGTGAGGTGGAGTGAAACTAAACGAAAACTAAACTATTTATATGTCGCCAGGTGAGGCCCACTGAGCTATGTAGATTTTTTTTCAGAAGAGACCTGCCCACAAATGATCGTTGAACGAGGTGGCTTATCATGTGGACATTTAGAGCAGTAGCCAAATACTCTGAGCGCACGTTTCTAAATGTGGACGGAAAAACCGGAGGACCCGGAGAAAGATCCACGTGACCAAGGGGAGAGAGAGAGACACGCAAACTCAAAATATACAGCAGGCGTCAGGGTAGGGTTCGAAACCACGACCTCCTGCGTAGCAGGCGAGGTAGTTAACATCTCGCCACCGTGGCACCCCACGATCTGTACATAGACACAGAGCGACTTCTGAAATAAAGCTGACATTCGGGCAGCGTGAGCTTACAAAAGAACGATCATCCTTGACATTCTTTGACTGCCTCTCGGGTAGATGGTATGTCTACAACATTTATACAATGTGTTTATAAACAAATAAGCGACATTAGAATGGTAATGATAGTAATTTGAAGGCCTTTGCCAAGTGACTGTTGAATGCAGGCCTCCCCCATTGTCAGAATTAGAATCAGAATATGTATTTATACTGGAGGAATCCAATGAGCTATTAAGCTCTTTTTCACAGATGTCCAGTAGTGGCGATTGATGGACCATAATTCACCACACTGGTTAGAACGGGTTTTGTCAAGAAGAGTGAGGGATCATGGTCGGTTAAAATATATCACCCGGCGGTGATGTTAGACGTGGATGGGAATCAAAAATTTGGGTCGTCGAGTTTACAGCGCAGTGCGCAAATCACCGCGCCACCCTTCCAACTCAGTTTGTAAATACGTATTCATGAAAGCTTGATGATTACAAGCCCAAATTACGCGTTGGGGAACACTCCACTTTTTTTCCAGATCTAGTTTTTTTCGCGTACAATTGTGGCAAATTGGCAAAAAAAAATTTTTTACAAATCTCGGTGGAAAACTGCCCTTCTGCCATCCTCATAAATGGGTTTAATTTTTTTTGGTAATTGATACATTTTACAAACCTGCTTTTTGTAACATTCGTGCAGCATATTAATGACGATTATTATGATTGCGCTGGCCTTAATAAGTTCACGTTGCTCTTTGACTGCGTGTGTCAATGAGTGGATCGCAGACGGAATACCAAATTAACTAGGCGAGCACAATTCAGCGTGGGCTCTATCGTGTGCACGTGCACGCGGGAGGATATATATGTACGCTACAAATACAAACATGACCCCTCCCACGCCCTGCACTGGAACATTAGTTTGGAAAAAATTAGATCGGACGCAGCGTAATTCCAAGGAAGGTTTCGGTTCGCCACAGAAGTGACCAAAACGTTGCAATTAACCCCTTAAGGCACCTTGCATGTTGCATGGAGCTAAGAGTACGCGATGGGGATAACGTTTCGGTACAAAAGGGGTTGCTTTCTTTTTATTATATAATTGTATTACAAGTGGTGTTTTGAAAAAAATATCCCTAGGAGTAGCGGTTGACACTGGCAACCTGACAGAGATAAATTAAATTGAAAGCGCAACTAAGCAAGGGGGTAAAAAAAAAAACCCCCCTTCATGAAATTACCATGAATTCCTCTGTGCTCCTGCTTCGAGTGCAACAGTGTAAAGGTTAAGGCCTAGTTTTCATTAGGTGGCGCTTCTCAGGCCCATTAAGGAAGCTTTTCCAATTTTGTATATTTCCACGAGATTCTCCCTCAAACCGCGTCATTATGCTAAGCAGCTCCGTACCCTTCAGTCTGACGCAAAGAGAGTCCTAACAAGCTTAAAGCTGACTCCAAATTGACCTCAAACCTGCAATTTGCAGACAGCACACCTGCGCACATTCGGGTGCAATCTCATTTTGGTTCATCTGTTCTTTCCCGGGAGTAAATGCGAGGAGGTAAATCTTCCCCCACTCATGTTGCTTACACGTACGTGTGGGAGTGGCATTGAATGGTACAGATGGAGCTTGAGCCATGGACTTGCCCTTGGACAGGGAAATTAAAACTATGGTCGAATAATCTCCATCAAGCTGCACGGCATAGAGGGAAAGCCCTCATCCAGCAGTGGATGAACACAGCAGGCTGTGCTTGTCAGGACGTCCCTCCACGTGCACTGACGTCTACTGCCCATCGATTTGTCCGGTGCAGATCAGGAACTCGGCAGCCAACCTGTGCATCGACGGAAAGCACGGGGGGACTGGCACGGAGCTGCGTCTTGACACGTGTGTGAAGGACGGCTCGGAGCGCACCTGGTCGCACGAGCAGGTAAGGGAACGTCGCCCGGACACCGTGGGACCGACCTCCTACGAGCCAGGTGCAAAACCGGGCGCAGCCATTATTGTTCCTTCCTTCAATTAATTCTAACTCCTTACCTCGGCGTGTACAGGATATGTTGGCAAAAGTTTTTTTTTTGCACCGATTAGCACGGTTGGCTACATACGGTGTGAAATAAGTTCATCGTACATACAACAAATATAAATGTTTTCAATAAATTCAAATCTTTGAATGTCATCCACAAAATTCATTATTATTATTATTATTTGTTTCGCACATGTTTAGACATCCAATAACATAACCAGGAGTTTAGATTATGTAGGTACAGGTAAAACCCATTGGATGATACATGCTAATTTTAAATGGGGGCACCATAGTAACCTGGTTACAGCATAAGAAACATTACTAAAACAAACCACAAACAACTGTACACGGTCAAGTTTCTGAATGGCAAGGTCATGCATCAACTTGAGTGGAATGCGTAAGACATTATACACACTCTCTGGTTCTTTCGGTAAAGTCACAAGAAATTAAATTAAATAATAAAGTACGACGTTTCGATTGCAACACAAGAAACCGTCATCAGGTAGAACTAAATTTGAGAGAGAGAGACAAAACACAGAGACACACAGACAGACACACAAGCAGAGAGAGGCAACACAGAGAGAGGCACACAACATAAACACACAGAGACCTAATGCCTCTGTGTCAAATCCAGTTTAACATTATATCCAGTTGATATTAGAGGCCCATGGCAGCCTAACTGGCAGCAAGCAAACAAAGTTTTTCACTCTAAATCCTTTATATGCGTGGCGGCTAGAGTCCTCTCGTCCTCTGGCTTGAGATGGCTGCCACCTATGGGTCAGATGATTGTCTGCAGTATTAAACAATTGGTAATTAAATATTTAATTTGTTTTCCCTAAACAGTGTAAAATTTTGGAAAAAAATTTTCACGAACATTAATTGTCTCGCACAACGAGTCTGTGTGCAAAATGTCAGCTCGATTGGATCACGGGAAGTGGGTTAAAAAACGACCGAAATGTTTGCACGGTCGTAAGCAAGCAAGCACGCAAGCAAGCAAGTAAACTTAATATAAAGGATTTAAAAATAACTGGAAAGAAAATAAAACACCGCGAGTACACCAAAACACGAGAAAAGTTTTCAAAGCACCGAACGTTTGTGGTAGAGGTCTTTAAATCTCAGCCAACTCGAGGGAAGTTCCATCGGCCGGAACGCCCGTTTCCTGGAGAGCCTCACACTTAAATGCCAACCGTTTGATAACAACAAGAGCGGACATTTTCAGATTAAGATTTAGTGCCACTGCCTCCCACCCAATTCTTGGTAAATTTACACACCGGTGACAAGGCGTCCTTCATGCTCAACCGCCCGGTTTCCCAAAAAACAAATCACGCGGAATGCGTGGCATACATTTCATCGTCGCGGCTACCGCTCGTCCGTGCATTTGCATCCAAAGTTGTATTTATTATCGCCGGTCGCGTGCCGCCTCCGCCGTCTCCCCCCCCCCCCTCTCTTCTCCCCCGCTGCCCGTGGGCCGCTCTTTGCGTCCCCCACAGGTGTTCACGTTCGGCTGGAGGGAGGACGTCCGCCCGGGCGACCCGCTGCACACGCGCAAGTTCTGCCTGGACGCGGTGTCGCACTCGGGCCCGGTCACGCTCTACGACTGCCACGGCATGAAGGGGAACCAGCTGTGGCGATACCGCCCCGTGAGCCGCCCACACGCTATAACCCGCTAGCCCGCCGGCGACTGCCATCCGCTCGCACCCACGGCACGGAAACGGTGGAAACGAATGTTGGTTCTCCCTCAAATATTTTTTGTCGAAAATATTTGCTCGCCCCCCCCCCCCCCCTCCCCACGAACAAATATTTGGTGAATATTGGAATTTTTTTTCCAGCCAGCAAACATTTGTCCGTCCCCCCCCCCAACCATCCCTCTCCCCCACTTGAGCAGGGTAGAGCCTGGTTACTGCTTCGGTAACACCTCCCAGGACTTACACAGTGTTGTAGTTGTGGAGCTACGGTGTGGCCAGGAGAATGGCAGTGTTGCGTGTCACCCCCTCGTTTGCATTGCTTATCTCCGGGCACTCCGTTCCCTTCGCACTTTCGAGCCAAATGCTCACCAACGGATATTGGCCAAACGTCCCAATCCGGCAGGACCCTCCTGAGACCGACTAATTTTTCTACCGGCCACGGCGCTGTCGTTTTACAATGGCATAAAAACGAACGAGTGGCAATTTCCAACCCCCCGTGAGATCACGACGCGTTCCAAATGTCTCGTGTAAGCGCTAATAAAACTCGGCATTTTAACGGGGCCCCCAGACCCGCGCTTAAATCGCGGGTCTGCCCCGTGAGCACATTACGTCTGCATCTCAACCGTCTCTCTCCTTCCGCTGCCTCCCCTTCCCTCTGCTCGCTCGCTCGCTCGCAAAAACCCGCGCGCTGCCCTCCAGGACAAAACCCTCTATCATCCGGTCAGCAACAGCTGCGTGGACTTCCACCAGGCGGAGAAGAAGATCTTCATGAACACGTGCGACGGAGACTCGCTCACGCAGCGGTGGCTCTTCGAGAACGTCAACGCCACCGTCCTGGCCAAGTTCAACAGCAGCTAGCACCCCTTCTACCGCCCGTCCGTTCCCCCCCCGCCAAGCCCGCACAAGTGTCTCGCTCCTTTCCTGACTCGAGAGTGGAGCGCTGACGGAAGAGTGGGAGAGGGGGGGGGGGCAGCCGCACGGACTTCAGCGGCGCTGCGTGCGCTCGCCCGTGGCATTGAGCGCCGTCTCTCCCCATCCCCTTACCTCCCTCCCCTCTCCCCCACCCCTTCCCCCCCCCCCCCCCGCGCGCATCTCTGGGCGCCTGTACGTCCGAACGGGCCGTTCTGACGACCGCGTGCTTTTTTTTCGAACGTGCGAGCACACGTGCATGCAACAAGCACGCACGCGCACACGCACGCACGCACACACAAAGAACTCTCTGTTTAGCCTTATAGACTTTTGGGGAAAGTGCTGCGAGTGACCGCTTATTTGTGAGGGAAGTGAAATAGAGTTCGGGTTGTAACATAATTCACGTGCTAACGATCACAGCGACCCAGGTTTGATTGTTCGCCATGATGCACAACATGTGTGGCAATTCTGTAACTGAATCTGACCGATTGTGGACTTCCCTAAGGTCAACTCAGCCTAAAATGTGTACCTGGCGCAGTGTGGTCAACATTAGTGCCGGTGAAGGCAGATGGATATACATGGTGTTGGCCCTACCAGCCACTCGCGCACTTGCACACACAAAGACATGGGCACACACAAAGACACATTCATACACGAACATATGGACAAGAGCGCTCAGGCACACACACGCGCCATGCACGCGCACACACGCGCACGCTGGAACACAGCCCACCCCGTTCGAATGCCGCGCTGCAGAATTGTAAAAAAAAAAAATCTCGTGGAAACGGACGGACGGAGCAAACTAAACGTCAGGAGGAGTGGCCTCTCTGAGTGGGTGAAGATCTGGCGAGGCTCAAGACGACCACCGTTGAAGTGCGAAGGATTTGTATTCACGACGAGTCCGCTCTTGTGTTGATGCCTGTGGGGCAGTTCGGGCTGGCACGTCCAAAAGTGTGCGTCCGTGCGTTGCGGGCGTGCGTGCGCGCGTGTGCATGTGTGCGTACATTTTTGGTGGCATAAATCAAAAAGTGTGCAGAGTCCTGGCTTGTGTCTGTCACTGCAGGAAACTAGCACATCAAGCAAATCGTTTCACTCAGGAACTTCATTCTCCATCACACTTTGGCAATAAAGAATAGGCTTTACCCTTTTCCGGAAATAATTACAGGAGGTGTTAATCTGTTCAAACACCAAATAGGCACACAATGCAAGGCATCAGGTCTGCATTCACCACACACGCTTGTGGTAAAATATGCAAACAAACATGCTCTATTTGGTATTTGAACATCTGAACAGCTGTATTTTTGCTGGGGAGGATAAAGCCCCACTTCTTTTTTTTCATAATTTTGATACCGGCAAAAAGAAAATAGTCCCGTAGATATTTATTTTAGCTTTTGCTATGTAGAACATCTGGCAGTTTTAAATCTCTTGATCGGCAGAAACGATGAACAACCTACAGAAGCGTCGTGCAGGGGGGTGCGGGGGGGTCACGCTACTGAGAGACGGACGGAACGAGGGGTGCGATTGTTCGACGCACGTCGCAGCTTTGTAAAAGTTGCGGGGTTTTTCCGACGGGAAGACGCGGTCCTGCGTGTTGATCCAACACGAAGGAAAAATGCTACTTCCAACGGGTTGTCTGTCGTCGTAATACCATTGTCATTCGGCGATGAGGTGTGGAGATGTGTTTGCAGCAGAACGTCGGTCGAAAAAATTGTCGCTCAAGTTTGACCGTGAGCAGACTTCGCTCGGTCAATTTCGGGGGTATTTTTGCTTTTTTTTCAGGTTCTTCTTTCTTTCTGAATGCAAATCGAGACAAATTAACAAACAAACGAACGCCGGTTTGTTTGTTTTATTTGAGTTTCAACCTTGTGGGGTAAATTATAGTTTCGCCCAATTTGTGGCACTTTTTCATGTTTGGTGCAATAATGGCTTATTGGTATAGAATGTTAAAAATGTAATGACATTGCCCCCCCCTCCTCTCTGCCCCACTCTTGATTCACTGCTGATCTTACTGAACGTACAATGGCCTGTGTTTATTGTTGTGGCCCAAAACAAAATAAAAATTTACAGTTTTTTCAAGTGACAGTTGCGAGGACGGTGATCTCAATACTCTGGTAGAGATGGAGCAAATCTAACCTTCCAGATATTTGCAAAATGTTCATGATTCATGATCGCGATTCAATTCGTCGGAATCACACCACACCCTTTAACCTGCCGACAGATATCACTGTCTTAAAACGTAACTTTACAATTTAGTTTCGTAATAATAATACAAATGCGTTCAACCAGCAGTTGATGGCGAATGTCTGATGATGTTTGTCATGCAGTGTAGCGGTGAGGTTATTTGGCCTCGTGTACGATATTGACGCAGCGCCTTTCCTGTAACAGCTCCATGAAGAATAGTTTTGGTTTTCCTCGCGGTTGCATGTAGACTCGACGGCTCTATGGACTCTCTCCTGGACTCACGTGAATGGGCAGATGCACAACCTACACCGCTGCTCAAGGGTTTGTGTGTTTTGGGGTTTTTGCGGTTGGACTTCACGGATCTTCGGCGTATTCCCGGGAGCCGGAAAGCTCTTGGCACGGGGAGCGAACCGTCGGACATCACGCCGAACTACAACCCAGAAAGCACATCGGGCAGCAGAAACGACTTAGGAAACAGCGGCTTCACTCTGACGAATCGCCACATGCCTACAATCCTGTGATTTAAAAAAAACATGACTTACAGTGTAGCTGCAAAATAAAACAAGTTTTCTATTGTACGCGTGTACATATGAATACTGTATATACATACACGTGTGTACATACGATAATGCCAGATTTCCTAAATCGTTTGATTTTGTAATGTCACCCAGTGTGTGTTTTTTTTTTGGGGGTTGGTTGTTTTTTTTCTTCTTCTATTCGCCCTCTTGTGTACAGTGTCCGCTCGCGAAACTTTCATCATTGCCTCTCAAATCGGGCTGCCGCAACACGGGGTCCCGACGATATATCGTGCGACCCACGATATGTCGTAGCTGTACCATTTGCAAAAAAAAAAAACATCGTCACGGGACGATAACTGCGTCTCGTTATTCGCGTACTTTTTTCCCCATTTCCTGTCCAAATATTTCTCAAATAACGATAGTTTAAAAAGTTGACGGTCGTAGTTAAAGTAAAAACAAAGCTATTACTCATTAAATAATTTGATGGAGTTAGTCGGCAGAATGGCGATTATAAGACGTCATCATTTTCTGACGACCTTTGACCACCGTCCATTGTAAAGGTGCAGTGATTAGACACGTTGAGATAACTGCAGTGGGATATCTTTTCAGCACTGGTCTTGCACTTTAAAGTACATCAAAGCACAACAAACCATATGACGAGAATGTGAAACGCAAATTACGAGGCTACGATTAAACTGATATTTCGCTAATGGACTTATCTTGAAATGGGAATAGCCTATCGGATATCACGAACAAATCATATCGCGGCAGACCTAGCCTCAAAAAGCGCGCGGACACAGAGCTTGCTTGCTAAGTGATCACTGCGGTGGTGAATGCCAGCTTGCTTGCAGCCTCTTGAACACACTTGCGCGAAATGTTTATGGAGCCTCCTGCACTTCTCCACTTCAAAGCACTGAATAAAATTGCCCCGACACAAATTGGCGGGTCTGCATTGCAGCGGCAAATCACTTGCAGGGCCATGATTTCGGGTGTCTGGGAAAAATGGGTAAATTGTTATAAATCGTTTTTTTGTGTCTTTTTCTCCAATCTTTTCTCATGGTCACGAAATTAAGAACCTATTCAGAACTGTCGCAGAATAGCGCGCCTCTCCGTTATAGAACGGGTCCGCAGAAGAAAATATCAGAGAACTGCTTCTGAAATCTCTTCAAGTGCCCTCTAATCCACACCAGGGAGCAGCACTGTCCCACCTCGCTCTGCAATGGGGAGGAATTGCCCGTGACATGACATGACAAACTGAACGTTTGAATTTCTCGACTGGAATTTTGCCTAATTAGCTGCAGGACCAAATTCAATTTCGATTTAAAGCTTTCGTGACTGCAGGGATTCATCTTCTTGGTTTTTTCGGTAAAGTCACGTAGAAGGGAAGTAATAAAATAATAAACATATTCGTGAGAATTATTTTATTATGTTTTATTTTTATTATTTTATTACTTCCCTTCTACGTGACTTTACCGAAAAAACCAAGCAGACCAAATTCAATGTTATGGGTTTTTTTGTGCAGTCCTTCGTGGACCGGGGCCCACTGGATTCGTATCAAGGATCACAGTGGTGCCGAATCAGCACTCTGATATTTGAGGCACCCGGCCACAGCAGGATTCGGCTGAAACGGTGAAAACCTTTTAGCTGGAATGAATAAGCATCAATGATTCATTCATTCATTCATGCTGTCTCCGGCCGGTGTGCCTGGTGGTTTGCGCGTCCATCTATTGCACATCTGGCATCACACCTGGGCTCACTTTGGGGGAGGGAAAAGTCCTGGCAAGGGAGTTGCTTTTTTATTTTACGCATCTTTAGCAATTGCTTTTCAGGTGTCACAATAAAAACCCCACCACGTTTGAGATGCCGAATAGAAACTCGGATGTAGCGCTTGTTATTAGAGTGTTCTTACGAGGGATTCTTATTTATGTCTCTGCTACAGGAATGTAGAGGCGGCAATAACCAATAGGCGACAGTTTAAAGCTCCCGTCACCCACTTGCCGGCAGACTCCAAGATCGAGTGGCTGTTATGTTCGACATGAAACAACGAGTGTCGGCCCGTACCTATTTTTGTCCTCGTTTTTGCTGTTAATTTACCTTCGTTAGTGCGCTCGCTATTTGGCTTCGCATAAATTCTCAGAAACTGCTCCGAGCACCGACTGAATTGTAAGCTCAGGCTGCCTGCCGCCAGCAATACCAAACAACACCGCGCAACTGGAAACCCACCGCAAGTGGAAAATTATGTGTTTGGCGACGGTTCCCCCCGTCAGCATTTGGAAGCAGCCTTAACTACGGTGGGAAGGCGAGTGCCCCCCAAAAAAAACACATTTGTTTCCTGATGACTTTTTTTTATATATAAAGAGAGAAGTGGTTGCAATCGGCAACCTGAGCCGAAGCTGCGGGAAGTGTGCGCCGTGACGGCGTGGCGTCGTGCATGGCGTGCGTCGGACAGTTATTACTTCAATGAATCTAAAATAATGTCCCATGGGGCTGGCCGTGTGTGTCGATTGGCAGCAACAACAACCATTGTACATTCGACGATGTTGTGCTCTGTCCTCCACTGGGTTTTTTTTCATAATCAAAACACATTAACGTTTCAAACATGATTTTAGAGGGATTGAAAAGGGGTAACATTCTGATGTTTTATAAATGGGAGTAACTTAATTTTAGTTTACATGCAAGGTTCATATGGTGGCTCCTTTCTTGGTATTTCACAAAACACTTGATGTTTTATTTTATCGGTAGGGATGGGTGCGGAATTGATCAACTTGATTTTAATAAAGGTTCAAAGATTTCTTTTTTTTCCAACAAAACTTGCGATCCCGTCATTCTTCGTCTTTCGTATGGTATTGTGAAAAGCAACAGCTTTTTATTTTTTCTTAATGATCGTCATAAATGAATGCAAAGGTTCCTCATCCAGTCCAATGATGTGGTTGACGCAGTGTGGATTTCAGCGATACTGCCAGGATGTGCATGGATGGAGCATTCATCGGTGATGTGCTTGGTGGTTTCGACTTCTCCACAGTCGCAGTTGGGCGATTCCTTGATCTTCCATTTATGGAACGTGTACGAGCATCTGCCGTGTTGTGTTCACGGTCATTGCAGAAGAGAGAATCTCGGTACTTCCACCGTCGGATAGTGAATTATGCTTTTGTTTGCCACGTCCATAGCCGCCCATGATTTAGACCACCGTCATTCACGAGTGCGTGTGTCTGTGTGTATGTCAGTGGAGGAGGCTCGTGAAGGACGCTACTGGGCAGTTGGAGGCAGTCGCCCTCCAACAACAACGGAGGGCGGAGGAGCGACGCTCACAACAACGAGCGGAGCGCCGGGTGGCTAAAGCACAGCAAGTTGGTACAGTAGGGGGCACAGGTGGTGCATCAGCCAGTCATCTCGGTCAGTCGACCCGTGGCACCTGGGTCTGCCCCGTGACCTCCTGCCAGCGGGCGTTCGACACTTCACGTGGCCTCAAGGTGCACTTGGCCTGGCACAAGCATCGTGGTGACGTCACCGCCACTTAGTGGCGAATGGCGGTTGTTGTTGTTGTCCTTGTGGGGACCAATAACAGTAACGAGTTGCTATACTGGTCCTAGGCGTCTCCTAGGTTGACTCAGCCTTCAATGTGAACCTGGTGTGTAGACAAGCGCTGGGGAGACAAAGGCAGCCGGGCATGGTTCGAGCCACACCATCCTCTCGTGCCGTTCCGGCCTTCATGGGTGCTCGCTAACAGCACCTGTCCCAACAGTCTGTTGATGACTATATGGGGGGGAGGGGTGGTCTTTGTGTTTGCGGAATTGTGTGAGAAGCAGTGGCACCGTGGTTCGTGAACTCTCCACTATTCAGACATTCTGGGTTCAATCCCAATTCCACGCCGTGGATAATAACACGAGTGACAAATCTACAAAGTTTAATATAATTCCCTTCATCCTCGCAGAGTTCTGGATCCCTGTTTTGTCAGAGGGCCCTGCATTGGGATATTTGACCAAATTTCATAATACACTGTTTGGAACATGGGAGGAAATCTCAGTATCTGCAGAAAACCCACAAGAGAGGGGGTGACGCGGCTCTTCACAGATTGATTCACCCCATTGCTCTATTGCCATCTGCTGGGCATCACACGGGCCAAGCTCACCACACAAATATGCCCAGGAAGTCTCCCACCCAAGTACTAAGCAGGCTGAACTCTGCTTAACTTTCAAGAACTTAGCTTCAGAGAACATGCAGGGTGAGTTGGTCGCCAGGTACCTGTCCTGGTCCTAGCCCAATTTAACTGTACCCTAAAGCTGTATCTTTTGCTGCCACACCATTATTAGTATCGGCCACGGTAAGATGTATATACCTCGTGTCTCACACAACGCAGGACGAGTGGATTTTCCAAGTAACCCCCAGATAACTGTAATCTAATTTTAACGTCGCACGAACTGATGTAAGACTAAGATTGTAACATTGCACCCATTCATCGATGAACGTTGACTCAAACTCAGGATGCATGCATTGAATTGGGAGTTTACAGGTCATTGTTAAAAAAATTTGCGAAGATTGTTGTGTGATGCATTAGATATGATCCCTGCCGGCACGAGACACCACTACCATCACAATGTAATATATATAATCCAAACGTGAATCACAATCTGGGGGTGGTACCCGGAGCTAGCGGTGGATGAGAGTCTAGAGCAAGAGTTGGCAAACTCTTGAGTCATTTATCCATGTTTGCCAATGAATTCACAAAGCAGGTGTATACACAGGTAATTGAAGAGAGAGAAAGAGCGCGCGAGCGAGCGAGCGAGCGAGCGAGGGGGAGCACTTAATTACACGAGAGAACTGCAACAGAAAAAGCACTCCAGTAAATTTACTGGCTTGGCCAGAACCGTTCTGATTAATTTGCAAACTTCAGCTGAATCTCAGCCAAGTCCTTAGTTCAAATCTGCACGCCAGGCGGAGGGCACAATGTGCCAGTATCCCCAAGCTATGTGTTGGCATTTGGTTGGTGCTCATTTATATTATTGGTCTTGAGCTGATGTCAAAATCCCACATTCCTATGCCAGACTCCAGTTCGTAACACTAGTTTCAGCTTGTGTCGCGCATAGTACCACAGGCAAGCAGGAAGGCAGCCGCGTGATGAGCCGGCATCAACAATGGCTCAAGCTCTGCGGTCCTCGATATATAATATATCATAAATAAACCTAAACCTATCAGCATCAACACCAGCAAACGGCACGACACAAATCCCATCGAGCAGTCGCGCAAGCAGCTCTTGTCCACAGTGCGGCCGATGCTTCCGCTCAAGGACTGGGCTCTCATCCCACCAGGAGAATGCCACTTCAAGAGCTGTTCTCCGCAGTCATCATCGTTCGCGATGGACAGCCGAAGAGAGATATATACGTGGGGGGCGCAGGGCCGGAGTAAGATTTTGTAGGCCCCTGGGCTACAGGTACAGCGAGGCCACCAGTAATATTTTCAAAAGGAAAACAACGTTAAAGAAAATTTTAATTTATTTTTACAAGGCTAACAACAAATAAAATTCGGCATTCACAAATGAAATAACTTTTCACTTCATCTCTGGAGGCCCTCCAGCTAGCGGAGGCCCCTGGGCTGCAGCTCCCAAAGCCCCCCGTGCCTTTATCCGGCCCTGGGGGGGGGGGGGGGGCTGTGGAGGAAGTAACTCTATCCCACACGGACAGAACAGGCGGAGTCCACATTTTCTTTCATAATAAACGTTTTTGGGTTAGATGGCGTTATTTATGAATGTGTCGTAACCCTCCACCACCCGAAACGGCCAATCAGCAAAAAAGTGTCACGTTGACAAAAGACAAATAGTTCACTACTTTAGCCCACCGGTGTGTTGAAGAGTGAATCCACAACATTTACAGTTTTTTTTATTGTTGTGGATTTACTCAACACACCGGTGGGCTAAAGTAGTGAACTATTTGTCGTTTGTCAACGTGACACTTTTTTTGCTGATTGGCCTTGTCGGGTGGTGGAGGGTTACGACACATTTATAAATAACGCGATCTAACCCAAAAACTTTATTATGAATAATATTGGTCGCGAAAGCCTGCGTGTTAAACTAACATTTTGTTTTCTGTCCCGCATTCTCCTGGGCGAGCCACCACCGCCCGGCTCCAATGGAAAACACTTTTCTGTAGTTTCCTCCGAGGTTAACGGTCGCCTCCTTGTCACTCCTCTATGGCTCCTCGCTCGTGGCTACTGTTTCCATGGACTTCCATTCCACTGGTTCTGATTATTTCATCTCACTGCTCTCGACTCTGGAATGCCCTCCTGCGCCCGTCCCTCATCTCACGATTCTTAGAACATTGCTTCAATTCGACAGACGTATGAACTCTTACCCATTACAGCGGTGGTTCTTCATTTTAAGGCCCGCGGGCCACTGGCGGCCCCTGGTGGCCTTTAGTGCGGCCCCCAAAAATACACAAATGTGAAAACTACCCCCATCATCATCGTGTTGCTATCAAGCCCTCCAATGATTTCAAATGTTTCAAATGTGTGGCGGCCCTCACACCGATGATGCCGTATCGGCGAAAGTGGCCCCCTCTGAAAATTAGTGAAGAACACGATTACACCTTCGATAGTGCTGTTTGTTACTGGCCGCTTGGACCCTGTGCTCAGCAACTATGATTTGTTTTTTAAAGTACATTTCTTTAATACAGCGATGTGACCTTGACTTGGAGTTGAACTTGTTTCCTCGAGGTCACGAGCCACCCTGTCTAAGCCATCCCAGGCATATAATTTACGCCCTCTTTAATACGGCGAGGCACGCGTTAATTGCAGTTGCCGATTGGATTGCAATAGCGATTAGTATTGCAGTGCAACAGGTTTCAACATATCACGGCGAGGTGTGTGACCGTGGGAGTGGAGTGTGTGCAATTGTGTGGGGAGCGGTCGTGTAGTGGTTAGCACGCTGTTCTACGAACCAGGTAACCCTAGTTCGATTCCCGATCACGGTGAACACCGGTGACGATGATCTGAACCGGTCCTGGACCTAACCTAGGTCGACTCAGCCTAAAACGAGTACCTCATGCAATGTCTAAACATCGTCACCTAGGGAGACGAAGGCGGCCGTCCGTGGTGTTAGCCACCCACCCCTTCGTGTGCCATGCCGGCCTTCATAGGTGCTCGCTAACAGAACTTGCCCCAACAGTATGTTCAGGCGACATGGGGGATCTTTGTCTTTGAATGAGCATCAGCATTGGGCGGACGAAGGCGGCTGGGTATGGTTCTGACCACATCCACCCACGTGTGTGTCACGCAGGCTTTAATATGTGCTCGTGACCAGCACTTGCTCCAACGAGCGGTATAAAAATAAACTGGCTGGTTTTATTTGTTTTTCGTGTGGAAATTGGCAATTTCCTTTGCACATTCATGACACTGCCGCTGGGTGGCGCTGCGGGCAGCTGCTACCGCTCCAGGTTTGTAAACGGCTGCATAAGTTTATCATCCCAGGCAGCAGACATTCATGTAAGGTCAATTCGTGAAACTTAAGAAAAGTGTGCAAATATGAATGTGTTGGAGCTATAAGAAAAAATACACTTGTATAGAAAGCCATAGGTCATGTTATTACAATTATTCATTAGTTTGGGTTAGTGTAGGTACTGAATGG